CCTGGTCACCCTCTTATTCAAAAGGAGGACACCCAAGTACTTACCCAAATCATTAGTTAATGGAATTCTACATCTGACACTGAGGTCACGAGCCTTGCTAAGATTAATATTAGGGGACACAAAGAGTTTAGATTTTTGGAGATTCATTTTAAGCCCAGAGATGAAACTAAACTCAGTTAAAACATCAGTAGTAACATCACAAGTTGTAGTATCAGCTTTGGCAAAGAGAAGTAAATCATCAGCAAAAAACAAGTGGGTGATACAAGGACCTCCTTCAACAATAGAGATCCATTTCCATCTCTTTTGCTCAGCCTTTAGACTTATCATATTAGATAGGTGTTCCATACACAAAACAAAAAGATAAGGAAATAAAGGGTCACCTTGTCTTAGACCCTTCAAAGGCCTGAACTCCTCCAGGGCTTCACAATTCCATAAGACAGAGGTTTGTACTGAAGTTACACAGCACATGATTAAATCCACCCAATTCACATTGAGGTTAAATTCAAGAAGCGTTTCTTTGAGGAAATGTCACGAAATATTGTCATAGGCTTTTTCAAGATCAATTTTCAAAATCATATTGCCCAGTTTAACTTTTAGGAGCCTTATAGAATGTAAGACTTCTTGGGTAATGATGATATTATCACTGGTATTTCTGCCAGGGACAAAACTACTTTGATTAGGCCCCACAAGTTTATCACGAAGAGATCTGAGACGATCCACAAAAATTTTAGTAATGATTTTATAGGTAACATTACAGAGGCTAATAGGCCGAAAATGTTTAACCCTCTTACGGTTGTCAATTTTTGGGATAAGAGCAATAAGGGCCTTATTCATCTCCTCAGGGATGTGATTGGTAAGGAAACAATACGGGATGAAAGAACAAACACCAGGGCCAACAATATCCCAAAACTTATGAAAGAAGATAGCCTGAAAACCATCTCTACCAGGGGCTTTGAAGGCTTTGATGTTGTTAATAGCTTTTTTTACTTCCTCATTAGTAATATCTTTGGTCAGTTAAGTATTATCCAGATTGGATAGAGTACAAGGAATAATATTACACCAGTGATTCAAAGAATTAGTAATGGGATTACCAAACAGGTTTTTGAAATAAGTAACAACAAGGTTCCTAAGGTTAGAGGGATTGTCAATCCAGACGCTATCATCATTCTAGAGTGTAGACACCCCATTTTTGACCGTCCTCAAGACTTGGACGTCACCACTTGAACACTCGGTGATCATCCTTGTTTGTGTTTGTCTTGAGTTCCCGGAGGTCTCGGCTACGCGTCTTGCCTTAGGATCTCTCGACTCGACTGTTTTGTGTGTGGTTTTGCACCAAACACTTGTGTTTTTGCTTTGAAGGGCATGGAATGGCTTGTTGGCCATCCCCACACTCCACCAGCCATGGCTTGAGGCCACCGGCTGTGTTTTGTTGCCATTGGCCAAATGTTTGGCTGACCGGAACTCTAGATAGTCGACCGGCCATCTATTTTGGTCAAATTGCATTTTTGGCTAGCCGACCACTGTTCATTTGCTTTTGCAGATATTTTTATGCCAGCTGTGCTAGCTGGCATACACTTTCTCCTTATTGACTAGCTTGTTTGGAAAGCTTTACAAGAGGGATTGTCTATAAGAGGGAGCCTCCTCTCCCTCCATTAGGGTTACAAAAATTTTGAGAAGAGCTATGAGATTAGGGTTTGAGTTTGTATCTATTCCATCTCTATATCTCTCTCTCTTTTTTGCCTTGTGTGCGTGTTTAGTCTTACTATTGCACACAAACACCTAGTCCTACACCTTCTCTTGGTTGCTGAGGGACCAGAAGGTTGTTCTTGGTGTTTTTGGGTGGTTTTGAGCTTGAAGAAGCTGCTGGAGCACCACTCTTGAAGAGGGTCAACAAGGGTGAGTGTTCTTGCCCTTTATTCCCCATTTTTGCATAGCTTTTTTGACTATCTTGCAACTCTTTTTAGGCTTTGCATATAACATATAAAAGTTTTGTTTTTACCTGGTTAAAATAGTTGTTTAAGAGTGTTTTGAGCTTCGGGGTTGTTTGACCCCTCTTAGGGCATGTTTGGCCCCATTTTGTGCCATTTTGGTTGAGCTTCGGGACCACCTTGTTTGAGTGGTGAGGATGGTGGTTTAAGGTCCTAAGAAGGAGAGGGCCACCCTCTCTCCTTGTGTCTTTAATAATGGCAATTTAAGCCTCATTAGTGAGCACCTTGTTTAAGTGTATGTTGGCCATGCCTTAACTATTTTTTATGACTATCTTGCCATGATATAGCATTGTTGTGAGTTGGTTTAGGTACACCATGCTTAGCATACATGTCTTGTAATGCCATGAATTGCCTTAACATGCCTTGTGCTTTGAGCCTTGTTTCTAGCATGTTTTTGGCTTAGCTTTGTGAAGCTTTTATGCTTGTTTTAGCATGCTAAAGGTCTGTTTTTGGTCATTTGGGTTGTCCATGCTTTGCTTTGTATAGCTACCATGTAACCTCTCTTGTATGCCTTAAGCATTGACCCCTCTAGCATGTCATCGTTGCATCATTTCAGTGGTTTGGAACCACTTGTCATGTCATTTCAGTCTTCATGGTATGCTCGTATGCTTGCATTTGATGCCCTTTTCATGCTTTAAAAGGTTGGTGTTTCTTGCTCCATGTTTGTACCATTGTGTATGCCTCTAGGATTAGATCATTTAGATGCCATCTAAGTGGTTTTTGGGAGCGAGGACTTTCGTCTGCAAAACTTCTGGAAATGTGTATTTTACGCTCGAGCGCCAGCTTTCGATAGAGGTTGAAGGCTCCCTTGTATGTTTATATGCATTGCATTACATTTGAAATCAAAATGGCACACTTGTTCCCTTGGGCCATCACGCATTGAAATGCGCGATTGGTGGTCCGAGAATCGAGAACCATGTCCCTTTGAGTCATAAACATGATAAGGGATGTGTTGGTGCACACATTTGCTTGGAATGCATTGCCATGCCTTGTTTTGCCCTCTGCTGCTGTCAAAACAGAATTCTGCAGGAAGATTTGCCCGGCCGACCATCTTTAGTGCCGACCGACCAACAATTGGTGGCCGATAGCTTAACCAGTGGCCGGTGATCATTTACTTTGGCCGGTGACCATTTTCCTTGGCCGGTGGTATCCCACAGGGTTCATAGAGTGCACTATGGGAATTTTGCAATGATCAGAGAAGGAAAACAGTGTGGACAGAGGCAACCTGTGCATGGCAGTGGACTTCCGAGCGGAGCCGAGCACGCATTGCATTGGGCCCTCTTCCCGAGGCCGTTTACTGTTTTGTTAGATTAGTTAATTTGCTTAACTAGTTTAATTGGTCTGTAATATTTAATTAGCTTGTAGGTTAGTTAAATCTGCATTATTCTTTCAGTCCCTCCGAGCGAGGGCAAATTTGTAATAAGTGTGGGTGCGTGTGTGCATGTCTTCCAACCCCCACTTTTTTCTCCCTTTTACTTACCTGCTTTGATGGTTAGTACTAGGACATATTTAATTTAGCATCCTTATGCTATGCATGCGTGCATCATTCATCAGTATTGCATGCATCGGGCTCGGCGCATTATACTAACTGCATAATATTTCAAATCTAAGCTTGAATATGTGCATCAAATGGTTGCATTTCACATGCCATCCTAGGATTAGCCGAGCCTATCCTAATTGCATTCTGTATGTGTTGCATTAGGCACTTAACATGGACTTGGATCATACATTGATTGCTAACGAGTTCTTTGTTTTTGGCTTGGAGTACACTGTAAGTATTTTGTGCTTTAGTATCTCGCACGAGTGTAAATGTTAACATGACAGCATGCTTACCATGTGGCTAGATGCTTATGTGATATGAACTGCCTGAATGCCTGTGGGTGAAGGTTGGATTGCTTGAGTTGGAACAACTCATCAAAATCCGTGTTTTAGCCTACTCGCGAGTAGCAAATTTCAAAACATTTTCCAAACAAACGGATATGCGATGCTTTGTTCCAAATTAGGCGATCTAGTCTATACTTGTTTTGCTGTGCGCATCACACAGTAATTCTAGCTAATTAAATCGGAATAAGAACACATAATGTTTTCAAAACAAGATATCATGATTAGTAGAGGCCGATCTTCAGATCGGGGGAGAGAGGGTGCTCATAGCTGACCTTCCCCAATCGTACCCAAGTTCCCAAGCCGAGGCAACTCTGGTGATGATGGACACGTGGCCTTAGGCAAACGAGTCAGGGTTTCCTAAATTCTCCCAAAATAAAATATTTAGGTGGCGACTCTGTATCTGGCAAAGCAGTCCATGTTTGGCACTTCTTTACAAAAATTTGTTTTTCAAAACGATTTGCCGGATTTGGACTCTTTGGTTCAGATTAAGAACCGTGACAATTAGAGTCCGAACTGTAGTGAGCCTAAAGATGAACAGAACGGGACTCATCCTCCCGGGGTGTTCGAGGACGTCTACATAGAGGACCTCAATTCTAAGTCTCCTTCTCTTAATGAGAGTGGAGAGGTGAAAGAACTTAGTATTGCGGTCCCCTTGGACAATCCAGTTCTCTCTGGATTTCTGAAACCAGATGAGTCCCTCCTGGTGCAGAGTTTGATTATACTGTTCCACCAAATCTTTCTCAAGCATGTGAAGGTTATGGGTATAGACATGGGATTGAGATTTTTGGATCCCTTCAATCCTTCCCAGAAGCCAACGCTTCTTTTTAAAAATATTACCAAAATTATCCTTATTCCAGATAGAAACCATGTCTGCCAGAGTGTAAAGTTTGTCAATAAGATCAGGATTAGATTGGTTCCAACAATTCTCAATAACAGACCTGAATCCCTCATAGGTAATCCAGGCTGCTTCAAATTTAAACGGACTAGCGAGAGGTTTAGGGTGGATTTTGCCTTCGGTGAAGACCATCATCGGAGAGTGATTAGAATAGGTTTTAGGGAGGTTGCGAACAAAGCCATCAGGGAAACGGGTCCTCTATTCTGCATTGCACAGCGCTCGATCCAGTCGAACTAAAGTGTTGGCCAGCCTTGTCTATTGTTAGACCAAGTGAGGCTTAGACCAATGCAGCCGAGGTCCATGAGATTACAGTTGTTGATCCTATCATTAAACTTCCGAGTACGTCTCTGGCTCTGGTTGAGATTTTGATCTTGATTTTGAGTCATAGTGAACCCTCTTTTCTCAGCACAACTAGCATAGCCATTGAAGTCTCCAACAACAAGCCACGGCATATTCATATCCTTGGCTATTTCATCCAAGTTTTCCCATTGTTCATCACGAACTCTGGGATTTGGGCTTGCATAGACTGCCGATAACAGCCATTCAGGATGGTTCTGTCTAGAGATGGTGGCAAGGGTCATTTGTGAGTTAGCTTCTGAGAGTCGAACATTAACATTGTTGGGGTTCCACAACATCCAAATACCTCTATTTCTACCAATAGGGTCAACATATGGAGATGCTGTAAAACCAAGGGTGTTAAAGAACATACCCATGGATTGGAGGGCCACTTTAGTTACCATAAGCACTACAATATCAGGTTTTTGAGTTTTGATCAGTTCTTTCACGGTCCTCTTGAACTTATTATTTCCAGCTCCACGGCAATTCCAAAATAGCATATCCATTAAAGACATGTGGAGAAGATTTGGGATAGGTAACTGGCCTGGTATGCCCAGCGTCGCCCTAGCTCTATTGTGGTTGTCCTTCATGGATAGTTTCGAGCTCACAATCACTAGGTGTTGACTCTGGCTTGTTTCGAATTGCCACCACGGTTTGATCTTTAGTTTCACTTCCTCTACCCACCAGTCGACAGAGACGCTGTGAGATGCTTCTTTCCCTGGATCTAGGAACAACATCACTCGATTCAGTGAGACCCTGTGTTGGGTTGTGGTCATCTCTGGCTCCTCCATCTCCTCTCTCGCGATTTGTACTTCCTCGTTGTTCATCATTGTTTTTATCAGGAGGCTTTTTGGTGTAACTGTGGTTAAAGGTGGTCACTCTTGGTGTTTTGAGAACTCCTAGGTTTGGAGCAGAAGGTGATTGGGGTTGGTAGCTAAGCCCCTTATCTACAGAGGCTACAGACTGTGTAGGTATCATATCTTCCTTCCGTATTATTTTGGCCTGAGCTACTTCCTTCCCTTGTTTGATCTCATTTCTGAACAAATCTTTTACTATCTCTGTTGTGTGATGTTGACTCATCTTACTATCCTTGGTGCCTTGGGTTTTTTGTCTATATCTGAAACCTGCTTCCTTGGTTTTGAAGTCCCCTTTATTGCTTTGTTCAACTTGGCTTGATTGATCCCCTACAATGAACCTTTCCTCTTGGAGTATATCAAACCGATTTCCTTGTGACTGGGGTGGGCTCTTTGAGGGTTTTAACTGACGATTTGGTCTTCTTCTAGTTGGGGCTTTTGTCCATGGCCCATAACTTGGTCCCACCTCATCTCCATTAGTGTCTACGTTAGTTGGGCTCTTGGATGTGCTCGGCCCATATGGGTCTTTGCCATAATTGAAAACTCTTTTCAAAATTCAAAGCCAAACTCTTTTTAAAACTCTTCTTTTTTAAAAAATTATAAAAAATATTTGTTTGTTTTTGTTTTGTAAAATTATTTTTAGAATCATGATTTTGTGATCAATTATGCATTTTTTGGGAAATCAATTATGTCAATTATGAAACTTACACATTTTTGTGTTGTTCAAAATTTTTAAGAACAAACTAATGCATCATTTACTACTATCCACCCTGTGTTTTTTGACACAACTTACCCGAATTTGTGAAAACGTACACAATTTTGTGAAATATAAGTGTTTTTCAAATATTTACTCATATTTGTGATCACGTACGCATTTTCTGTGAAATCACTTACGTAAATTGTGACAAATTACATAATTTTGTGAAATAAAAGTGTTCTTAAATGACTTACTCGTATTTCTAATTACTTACGCCTTTTTTCGGAACTCATTTACGTCAATTATTAAAACGTACATAATATTTTCTATTAACCACCCTAACTTTTGTGACACAACTTAGGCGGCTTTATGACAACTTGCGCAATTTTGTTTCGCAATAGTGTTGTCAAAAAACTTATTCGTATTTTTTGAAAAATCACTTTTGTCAGTTGTGAAAACTTATGCAATTTTGTCAATAAAAGTTGTCTCCAAGGAAATCAGTTACGTCAGTTGTGAAAACAAGTTGGCATCATTAGTAAGTTGTTGAAAATTTGTAGGAACAAACTTACGCATCATTTTGTGTCAACTACTCTGAATTTTGTGACACAACTTGATGTAGGTCGAATGGTACCACATTGAGGCTGCTTAAGTTACATTTATAGTCTTTGCATTTTGTTTATTTGGTGGAAATGATGTGTTTTGTGAACTTGTACAGATTTGGCAGGAAACAACCAAATTCAAGCAAAAAATAACGTAAAAGCAGATTCTCCGTGCGAGTAGTGAAAATTCTCGGCCTGCCACCTCACCGCACGTGTAGCCCACCACCGCTCGAGCAGACCACATGGGCGCTCGAGCGGTCCATCTAGGGTTCTGTGTGCAGAAATTTCAGTCTATTCTGCTAGGAATAAAAAGAAGAAAATATGGCTGTTTTTAGGGTTCGAGATTATTTCAAGAAAAATGAGAGGTTAGGGTTTGAAGAGAGGGAATTCTCAAGCTTCAAGGATAATTTCATGAAGGCTTCTTCTTCTTCTTCTTCTACTTCTTCCCACTCCTCCATGACTAGCTAAGCTCCTATTTCTAGGGTTTTGATGAAACCCTAGCTAAGTAAATAGGGTTTTCTTTTATGCAATGGCTTGAAAAATTGTATGGTTCTCAAAGAAGTTTTCAAATATAATTTTTCATTATTTCTTCAAGTATTCTTCTTTCTGTGATTGTTGAATATTTCCTATACAATGGTTATCCGACCCATACAAACCGCCTCACCCGAATCGACCCACACACATGTGGGCAGTTTCACAAACATAATAGGGTCAGGTGCAGTTTGGAATATAACAATTATTCGGGTAGTGGGGCGAGTTGCGGGTTTGACTCGCACCTATCATCTTGCGCCGGGGGGGAGGGGTTACAGTTTAGAATATAACAATTATTCTCTCACTCACTGTTCGATCTTCACTCTATCTCTCCAGCAACTCTCACTGATCGACCGATCCACCATTGCAAGATCCTGATCCAGGGATCAACTAATCCACCTTCACAAGATCTATCTTCACAAGATCTTCTCTCATTCTCTCTTCTCTCTCCCCTCGATCGACTTTCGCAAGATCGACTCTTTCTCCTCGGCAACTCTCAACTAAGCGTCTCTCTGTCTCTGTTTCTCTCCCCGCAAGATGTACCTTCACAAGATCTACTGTTGTCTTTTAGGCAACAGTAAGCAGTGTTTGATGATGATAGATGTTCATCTTTGAATCTGTTGTTGATATCTATGTATTAATTGAATCTGTTATTGGTATCTGTGTTTGATGATGATATTAATCCTTGTTTGATTAATTGAATCTGTTATTGAATTTTTGATAGAATCTGTTTAGATTCTGTTTAATTGAATTTGTTGTTGTTCTTCATAGACTTGTATAGAACATTGTTTGATTAATTGAATCTGTTATTGAATTTTAATTTAATCTGAAATTGAATCTGTTAGATTGTTAGATTAATTGAAATTGAATCTGTTAATTGAAATTGAATCTATTACAGAACATTGTTTGATTAATTGAATCTATTCTTCATAGACTGTTAAAGAAAAAAGTCCAAACCGTAAACTGCCCGCAACTACTCGCACATCCGTGAACCCTATTTGTACAAACCGCACTGCGAGAGGTTGCAGGTTGACTTTTTTCCAAACTGCATAGACACGGGCGGGTCAAAACCGAATTGCAAACTGCACAAATCCAATCTGTGACCCCCATGCCTTTGAGCGTATAGTTGCGAAGTATTATTTCATTCGAACCGTAACATAATTGATTTTCAAATTGAAACCACATTTATGTAACTAGTGGTGAATTCAATACCCTAGGTTTTTTTTCCAAAATTATTAACTTCATCTTTACTTATAATTACTAGTTTATTCGCTTTATTTAATTTAATTATCATTAGGTTATGAACAACCATATCTTTCATCAAAATTAATTTAGGAATTTAACAATTAAATTAGTTTAATTTCCCTTTTATCCCTGTGGATCAATACCTAGACTTACTGCTATTATATTCTAAGGAATTTGGTATAGTTTAGTGTTTATTTTTGGTGCGTGAAATGACCCATCACAACTTATGCGAATTTAGAAAAAAAACTACACAATTTGTGAAATTAAAGTGATTTCCAAAGACTTACTCGTATTTGACATGATTTACGCATTTTTACGGAAATCATTTACATAACTTTGGAAAACTTATGCAACTTTTGTGTTGTCGAAAATTTTTACGAAAAAATTTACGCATCATTTTCTATTGTCCACCCTAAGTTTTGTGACCCAACTTTCGTGATTTTGTGAAAACTTATGCAATTTTGTCAAATAAAAGTGTTCCTCAAAGGCTTACTCATATTTGTGATCTGTTATGTATTTTTTAAAAAATCACTTATATAAGTTATGACAAATTATGCAATTTTGTAAAATAAAAGTATTCACCAAGGACTTACTCATATTTTTTAGAACTTATGCAGTCTTTTTGGGAAACCATTGACGTCAGTTATGAAAATTTACGCATTTTTGTATTGTTGAAAATGTTTAGGAATAAACTTGCGTGTCCTTTTCTGCTATCCACCCTGAGTGACACAACCTAAGTGAATTTATCAAAACTTACGTAATTTATTAAAATAAAAGTATTCTCTTAAGACTTACTTGTATTTGTGTTCACTTACGCATTTTTGTTTTTGGAAAATCAGTTACATAAGTTGTGAAAACTTACGAAATTTTGTGATGTAAATGTATTCTCCAAGGACTTATACTCATATTTTTGAGAACTTATGTAGTTTTTTTGGAAACAAACGTACACGTCATTTTTTGCTATCCACCTTAAGTTTTGTGACACAACTTACACGATTTTGGGAAAACTTACGCATTTTGTGAAATAAAAGTGTTCTCTAAATACTTACTCGCAACTTTAATCAGTTATTTTTTTTCATTTTTGGAAAATCACTTAAATAAGTTGTAAGAACTTAAAAATTTGGTGATGTAAATATATTTTCGAAGGACTTACTCATGTTTGTAATAACTTACGCATTTTTTTTTTTTGGAAAACCATATACGTAAGTTGTGAAAACTTACGCAATTTTGTATTGTAAAAAAATTTTAAGAACAAAGTTACGAGTCATTTTGTGTTATCCATCCTAAGTTTTGTGACACAACTTACGTAATTTCGTGAAAACTTACGCAATTTTGTGAAATAAAACTGTTCCTTCAAGACTTACTCGTATTTTTGATAAGTTACGTATTTTCGTTTTTGGAAAATCTCTTATGTAAGTTCTAAAAACTTACAAAATTTTGTGATGTATGTGTTATCTAAGGACTTACTCGTATTTGTGTGAACTTACGCATTTTTTTTTGGAAACCATTTACGTCAGTTGTGAAAACTTATGCATTTTTATGTTATTGAAAATTTGAACAAACAAACTTATGTATCATTT